GAGCGACCTGACATAAATGCGCAAAAATTAGTAAAGCTTATTTTTCCGTATATGTACGTATCAATAATTGTTCAAAACAAGCTGTTAAGCAATCATTTGTAAGGACATTTCTTAAACAACTTTACGACAATAAAGAATTATTTATTGCACCATCAAGTACCATTCTATCGCAGATATTCGAAATATCACATTTATTTATTGCAATTAACTAGCCATCTAAAAGAGGTACGGTTTTATAATTCGGAACGCTATGTAGTACTTAACGGGTATAGTCTGTCATATTTAGAATATTTAATCCGTCATCTTTTATATGAAATGCTATCGAAAATGTGCAATTTTCTTCAACAGCAATTCCAAAATTTTTATAATCAACTAAAAAAATAGCTCATTTTGCAGAAAATTCAATTTTCTACGACATGGACTGCTCAAATGTTCAATTTAACGAAGCGAAGGTGCGAACGTCGAGTTTAACTCGAAACGTTTCGCTTCTTAAGGGGCTCCTCCTTCTCAGAAACGGTGATTTTGGGTCAAAAAATCGATTTGGAGATAATCACATGGGACGATACCCTGGAGTGTCTACTTTCAGAATTTGTATCGCTTTCGGTTATATAAGTGATTTTTCGCGGCTTCTGAGCAAGGTTTCTAGGAGCCCCCAAAACCTGGTATTCAAATAGTAGCTTTTTCCTGGATATTTATGCAATTAAATTTTCTAAGCGCACAGATTTGTAGAACACACTTTTCTGATCAAAATAAGACCTCGCACAACGTTTTGTGACCCTTCATGAAAAAGTTACGAGTATTTTGCTACAAGTCTTAAAACTGAGCATTTTATACAGCGTTTTTTCTACATGGAAGTTTTACCTAAAGTGTTACCCAAGATTTTTTATAGCTGTTTTCATAGAGATTTTTCTTTAAAAGAGAAAAACAAACTGCATCGACTGACTGGCGCCAATTTTTGAATTAGGTCTCAGTTTTTTGTCCGAGGATTTTTGGAAAACTCGGAAGGGTTTTTCGGGTTTTGGAGGTTGTTGATTGCGTGCAAATCCAATAAAGGCTTAATTGAAAAACCGGCACTGTTAGGTGTCTAGCTTAAAATAAAACAAACCCTTGAACAGGACCTTGATCTCTGGAAAACTCCTAAATCGTAAGAGCTGGAGACAAAATAATGTTTTCATTCCCGTAACTCATTAAATCTAACATTTATGGAAAGTTTCGTCAAGATCGGATGTACGATGTCGGAGATAATTTCTAAAGGCAGCCCCTTAAAATTAAACTTTTTCACATTGTTTATTCAACTTTTTATGTTAGCTTAATAGGGACGATATTATAATTGATGAACATGAGTTTTCTGATGCAATAAATGTAATGGAAAAGTTGAGATTCGAAGTTATGATGCATTGTTGTGTTAATGTTTTGTAAACAGAAACAAGCAATTCACCACATTTCAAGCTAATTCATCATGATGTGTACTGTGTTATGTAGTAAAAACTATCGCGATTAGTTCTCTAACTTGCTCACTTTATTCAGTAACAAATTACTATATATCACATTCGCAAAAATGCAGCTATATATACATATCACCAAAAATCCGAGAAAGGATTAGAAATTCGCATAATAAATGCAGGACTTTTTCATTTTCACTCATATCTGGATTAAATATTGTACATAAAGATAGTACATCATAATACTTTGATTGAACTGATTCGTTCAATCCTTGACGTTGATTCACTAATTTATTTGATATTTTGAGCTGTTGTGAGGCTGATGTAAATGCCTTAATCAGTTGTTGTTTGAATCCATCATAGTTATAGTTATTATCAAATATACCACTTTGATACCATTTCTTAGCATCACCCAGAAAGTACATTGGTAATAATTTTCGACGATCCTTCCGATCTTACACTAGCAGCTTTAAACATCTGTTCAATATCTTGTAACCATATAATTGGATCTTGTTCATCTGCACCTGTGAACGATTCTGGAGATTGCACTCCTTTTAATAATATTTGACTTGATAAATTTATTACCATTTTTTATTGTTCCCGCTGTTGTCTTTCTTTTCTAATTTTTGTTGATAATTATCCCAATTCGTTTGCGCTTGCTGTTCAGTTGTATTCTTTGTGTTCACCAGGATTGAGAATTTCAACGAATCTAATAATGCCTGTACCAATCGGATTATTGTGATGTTGAATTGACAATAATATGGCTAGTGCACCAACGTTATGTAGTAAAAAACTATCGCGATTAGTTCTCTAACTTGCTCACTTTATTCAGTAACAAATTACTATATATCACATTCACCAAAATACAGCTATATATACATATCACCAAAAATCCGAGAAAGGATTAGAAAAGGATCTGATGACGTCAGAAGAACTGGTCAGAACATGACATCATTAGGTCATGACATACAAAGAAGAATAGGAAAGAATATGTCATTTACTACTGACCGGACTAGTGACGTCAGTAGAACAGGACATAACATGACGTCATAACGTCAGAAGAATAAACATTCCATATGTCATCATATCATAACATGTGATGTGAACAAAATCGAATACAGTAAAGTATCTCGCGTAAGAAAAGAACTATTACTTAACACCTCCTAACAAGTGTTTTAAAAGTAAATTCAAAGATTACTGAAAGTTCCATTTCTTGATCCATCTTTTGTTCACCGCACTGAATTTCGTACCCCTTCATTTGGAAATTCTGTTGTTGTCCTCTGTTCGTTTCCAGTAGTATAGCGATAATCTTGTTTGAAATAGCCACTTTTGAAGAAGTATCATTCTCCTCACTCTGTCTTAATTTTTACTATGAGCAGCTCTGTGCAATCTATAATAATGCCCATGTCGCTTCAATAGTTCATCATGACGTCCTTCTTCCTTCAATCTTCCACGTTCAACAACAGCAATTTTGTCACTATTCTGAATTGTTGTTAGACGATGTGCTATAGTTACACATGTACGACCAGATCTTGCTGCATCTAATGCTTCTTGAACAATCTGAAAAAAATATCGATACGAAGGACCAATGTATATGTAACAATGTATATAGTACAACACACGACAGAAGTAGATAAATTTTCCTACCAATTCGGCTTTGTTGTCCAAAGCACTCGTGGCTTCATCAAGTAATAATATTCTCGGGTTTCGGACGAGCGCACGAGCAATTGCAATTCGTTGTTTTTCTCCTCCACTTAGTTGCGTATGACCGGCATTGCCACACTTTGTATCATAACCCTAAAAGAAAAATAGAACATGCTAATTCATGAATGCCCATTAGTTCAATAATAATTTCAGTAGAGTACCTGAGGTAGAGATAATATTCGTAAGTGAATATTTGCTTGCTTGGCTGCTTCTTGTATTTCACTTAGTGGAACATTTCTAGAGTTGTCACCGTAGGCTATGTTTTCCCCGATAGTCATGTCAAAGAGAACGGGCTCTTGTTGTACAAATCCAA